GGGGGGAAAGGGGGTGCTCTCGTGGATCAAATCATGGCTCACAGACAGGAAGCAGAGAGTGTCCATAAATGGGGTTAAATCCGAGTGGGGATCAGTAACAAGTGGCGTTCCACAGGGATCAGTCTTGGCCCCGTTGTTGTTTATAATATATATCAATGATCTTGATGAAGGAATTACTAGTGATATGAGCAAATTCGCCGATGACACGAAGATAGGTAGGATAATTGATTCAAACGTAGATGTTAGGGAACTTCAGGAGGATTTAGACAAACTCTACTCTTGGTCAGAAAAGTGGCAGATGCAGTTCAATATAGATAAATGCAAGGTTCTGAAGCTCGGGAGTGTCCATAACCCTAGCACTTACAAGTTAAGTAATGTGATGAATGGTTTGAAAAACCGACAAGTTGACGATTGAGACACTTATGCAGCATATGGGAATCTTTATTCAGGAAACGTTTCGCCACACAGTAGCTTCATCAGTCCAATACAAAGAGGAAGGCGTAAGGAGAGGAGGAGAATGAAGTAATCAGTCCCTCAACCTGGAGTCGATGTGTTCAGTCCATCAATCTTGTAGAATGTACATTCTACAAGATTGATGGACTGAACACATCGACTCCAGGTTGTACAGCCTGGAGTCGATGTGTTCAGTCCATCAATAAAGGGGATATTAACAAGGTCTTGAGGATATCTCTCCAAGAGAGAACCCGCAGTAATGGATTTAAATTAGATAAGTTTAGATTTAGAAAGAACATAGGAAAGTATTGGTTTGGAAATAGGGTAGTTGATGAGTGGAACAGTCTACCTAGTTGGGTTATTGAGGCTAGGACTTTGGGTAGTTTCAAATTTAGGTCGGATAAGTACATGAGTGGAAGGGGTTGGATTTGAGAGGGACTTGCACATCGGAGCTTGTTTCTTGGGTGACATTGAAAATTGGTTTGGTCAAATGTTTGTTAGTGGGATGAATTGTAAAGGACCTGCCTAGTATGGGCCAACAGGCCTGCTGCAGTGTTCCTCCTTTCTTATGTTCTTATGTTCTTATGCTTTGAACAGTCTTCCCAGTGGGGTGATAGAGGCTAGGACCTTGGGTAGCTTTAAGAAGAGACTGGACAAATATATGAGTGGGAGGGGCTGGAGTTTTGAGACTCTATGGCCGCGGGTTCAATCCGGGCCGGGAGTATGGTTTGGTTGGTGTCATTGACTACGGGAATGTTCCTACATTCTTATGTTCTTATGTTCTTATGTTAGTAGTCGTTTTGATAAGGACCTGCCTCGCATGGGCCAGTAGGCCTTCTTCAGTGTTCCTCCATTCTTATGTTCTTATGTTGGAAATAAATGGTATAAAATACCGACACAATGGAAATATAAACACAAATGCAGTATAATGTGATCCTTTATTGACAACGTTTCACCCACACAGTGGGCTTTCTCAAGTCAGGGGAGATCCGTGTGTGACTTGAGAAAGCCCACTGTGTGGGTGAAACGTTGTCAATAAAGGATCACATTATACTGCATTTGTGTTTATATTTCCATGTTCTTATGTTCTTGTGTAGCATGGGCCAACAGGCCTGCTGCAGTGTTCCTCCTTTCTTATGTTCTTATGTTCTAGTATTGGCCAAAAGGCCTGCTGCAATGTTCCTCCTTTCTTATGTTCTTATGTTTTTATGAGTGGAACAGTCTTCCTAGTTGGGTTATTGAGGCTAAAACCTTGGGAAGGTTCAAATTTAGGTTGGATAAATACATGAGCGAGAGGTGTTGGATTTGAACGGGACTTGCATATATTAGTGGATAGAGTTATCAGACCTTATTTCTTGGGTAGCATTGAAAATTTGGTTGGGCAAATGTTTTGTTAGCGGGATAGATTGTAAAGGACCTGCCTAGTATGGGCCAACAGGCCTGCTGCAGTGTTCTTACTTTCTTATATTGTTATGAGTTGCGTTTGAGTCACGTGACCTTTATGTCAGGTGTTACACTTCACTCTCAGCCTATATATGCTTTCATTTTAATCATCGTCTGTTAGAAGCGATCAAGATCCCTTGACCTAAACATTTGTTGTCAACTATATCCTAGTGTTTGCTTATGAGTCTGTTTAATAAAATTGTCGATATCAATTAGGAAGGGTGATACCATCCTAGTGAAGACCATCCAAACAACTCTTGCTAGTGAAGGTAAGTTCATTGTTGTTGTTATAGGAAAGAGGACAAATTTAGGTCACCACTAACATTTTTTAGTTTAAACTATTATTAAAACTCACACAGGACTCATATGAATACCATTAATTTTTCCCATAATTATTCAATAGCTTAAACATCTCTATAACACCGCAAGAAGCCTCTCTTCGACCCCGTCGGGGTGTAGAATTTATATTCTACAAACGTGATATCCTTTTCACAATGCTGTCGAATCGTGTGAAAATCAAGCCTGTGAATGGTGCAATAAATGACTCCTCGAAGTTAGCTTTAGCTACCGTCGTTAGGACCTGCCTGCAGGTCAAATTTACGGCAATCCACTCTCTGAAAGACTCCTTCATTGTCGTCTGCACAGATGACACGGAAGCACTAAAACTAATGGACGACTCTTCAATCAGGACCCTACAAACACAACAATTCACTCTATCCCCGTCTCCATTCTTGAAGTCGAAACGTTCGGTCTTTGTGAAAAGACTTGACAATATCGTCACCTCTCTCTCTACTGAAGCACTGAAGACATCTATTGAGGAACAAAACACGTGGGCCTCGGTAGACAGCATCTCCAAGATCATCAACGCCACATCAATGCTAAAGATTACATTCTCAGACATCTCCATGGCTGCCCAAGCTCTCTCTGACGGTCTGGCCATCTCATATTACCACATTCACCCAAGTCATATAGAACAAGAACGTTTTCACATACATCTCCCACTGCTGGACCTGCTAACTCCTATAATCACACCACCAAGGACTGCCCCATCAAGAATAAGAAGTTTTGTTCAAAATGTGGGAATGATGGACACGATTTCAGATCCTGCACCATTACTACAACACCAACATGTCTTAACTGCAAGGGTAATCATCATACCCTTGCAGCTAAGTGCCCACTCAGGAAAGAAATAATATTGAAGAAAACTAAAGTTCTGAAGAAAACCTCCATTTCACCGACATATGCTGCAATAACCAAACCACAAACCGACGCCATCAAAACTCTACACTGAGGAAATGGTATGGTGATACCGACAAGATGTGGAAAATGACACTTATGTCATGGCGAAACGTTTCCTTTAATAAATGTCCTGAACTGTACATAAGTGTCATTTTCCACAAAACTCTACACGCTAATCTACAGGCACCATCGCCCAGCAACTCCCTCTCTCCACTCCCCGACGGTGCTCCTTCCAAGGTGCTGTACTGCATGGTGTATGCACACCTTGCAAACGCAGCAAGCCCCGGCACTTTCAACACCACTATTAACGGACTATTCCGTCTGAACAACATGCCTGCCTTCAATTTTCCGGAATCCACACCTTCAGAAGACATCCTCAAGATCCTTCCCAACGTCCTGAACTTTACTGCACCTACAGACCTGTCTCCTGCCCAAGCAACTGCTCCTGTAACTTCTATAACCACTTCCACCGCTGACAACGTTGATCAAGTTGCCTCAACAACCGCCTCCCACCTCTCCCAGCCTGCTGTTACACAACCATTACACCTCACTGCTGCTCCTGTCGAACCTCAGTCACCTGCTACCCACCATTGTAGATTCTCCCAGTGAATCCACTCCAGAAAGAGGAAGATAACGACGACTCCAGTAAACCCTCATGGGAAAACCTTACCTTTTACACTTCTCCTTCAAATACTGACACCATGACCTGTACTGAACTCTACAAAAGCCTCGGTGCTGGAACAGTCAAGTATGCATGTGAATCACCGCTTCACTTCACACTCACCCAAGTTCTTGAGTTCATCAAGCCTCTACGTTTCACCTTCAGCAACAAGGCTAAATTATACCACCTATCTAGAAGCAGCTTCAAAAAGTTTGAAAATGGCTCCATTGCTAACCTGCCTCCTCAGTTACTCCTATAACTCCCATATGTTTCAAACCTCTGATGTGACCTAGCCTGCTGCCAGCTACTCAAGATTCAAGACTTCAACTACAACAATTTCAATGAAACAGTCCCTGCTATTCCTGTTCTCAAGTCTGCCCCACGATCGCCTTAGCTGCGGGGTTAAGCCCCGGGCTCTATTTCTCTTACTAAAAAACACTCCTCTCCAGAGCTATTCTTCATCGTCCCGTCTTCCCCGCTCATCCCATTTGGGATCTTCCCTAAACTTGTTTGTTTTTTGCTTTGAATCGTCTGTTAGAAGCGATCAAGATCCCTTGACCTAAACATTTGCTGTGAGTGTTTGCTTATGAATCTGTTTAATAAAATTGTCGATATCAATTAGGAAGGGTGATACCATCCTAGTGAAGACCATCCAAACAACTCTTGCTAGTGAAGGTAAGTTCATTGTTGTTGTTATAGGAAAGAGGACAAATTTAGGTCACCACTAACATTTTTTAGTTTAAACTATTATTACAACTCACACAGGACTCACATAAATACCATTAATTTTTCCCATAATTATTCAATAGCTTAAACATCTCTATAACTGATGAAAATCAGAGAAATGTTCAACTTCTGGGTATCTTTATTGTAGACGTTTCGCCATCCAGTGGCTTTATCAATACAAATTTTAGGACCGTAGTCCTGAAGATTCTTCAGGATTACGGTGCTCTTCACACTAACTCCATATATTTTATATATATTTCTAATGTCTTCAAATTATTTCCTAGAATTTGTATTGAAAAAGCCACCCAGATGTTGCACATGTCTAATTTTCATCACGTCGGTTTTGAATACCATTGATGTACAATTCTGTATAATAATGATAGTAATAATAATAATAATAATAAAGGATGATGATGAAAAAGTGCAACTAATGTGACATTTTTTATTTGGAAATGTTTCGCTCCTGGAGAGCAAACGTTTTCCACATAATTCTACCAACTATATTACAAAGCTCCTGGAGAGCGAAACGTTGCCACAATAAAATGTCACATAATTTTGCACTTATGTCCTTTTACTTTACATGATAATAATAATAAGAGATTATATATTTATTTATTTTGCAGGTCCATCCTGACACCTGAGGCTGGATCTTGTTGTGTCAATACTTCAGGTATCCTGGCAGAATATTCTGATACTTGTAGTGTCAAACTACACTGACACTTGCAGTACCAATATCACTGTTACAAATCTGAAGATTCTGTGAATACTAAATAAAGTGTTAATACATTGACTACACTAAAAGCATATTTTAAGTAAATTAATAAACGAAAATATCTTTTACTCATTATGTTGAAAACATCTAAAAAAACTGTGTTTTAAAGGCAAAGCAACGTACAGGTGTTGATGAACATTCACACTCCGCTAAAAACACCCTTCTCAAAGAACTTCATGCGTATCTCTCACCCAACGTTCAGTGGTCTTAAAGAGTTTTCTGATAATTGTAATTTACTACAACACACGAGAACTCATAGTGGAGAAAAACTATATCAATGTTCAGTGTGTCTGAAAAATTTTTCTAAAAAATATACTTTAAAAAGACACTTGATCATTCATACTGGAGAGAAACCATATCAGTGTTCACAATGTCCAAAAGATTTTCCACAAAGGTCTGAATTAGTATCTCACATGAGAACTCATACTGGAGAGAAGCCATATCAGTGTTCAGTGTGTCTAAAAGACTTTTCTCATAATTCAACTTTAGTAAATCACATGAGAACTCATACTGGAGAGAAACCATATCAGTGTGTAGTGTGTCTGAAAAACTTTTCTAGAAAAACTCATTTAGTATATCACATTAGAACTCATACTGGAGAGAAACCATATCAGTGTTCACAATGTCAAAAAGACTTTTCACAAAGGACTGACTTAGTATGTCACATGAGAACTCATACTGGAGAGAAACCATATCAGTGTTCAGTGTGTCTGAAAAACTTTACTAGAAAAACTTATTTAGAACATCACATTAGAACTCATACTGGAGAGAAACCATATCAGTGTTCACAATGTCCAAAAGATTTTCCACAAAGGTCTGAATTAGTATCTCACATGAGAACTCATACTGGAGAGAAGCCATATCAGTGTTCAGTGTGTCTAAAAGACTTTTCTCATAATTCAACTTTAGTAAATCACATGAGAACTCATACTGGAGAGAAACCATATCAGTGTGTAGTGTGTCTGAAAAACTTTTCTAGAAAAACTCATTTAGTATATCACATTAGAACTCATACTGGAGAGAAACCATATCAGTGTTCACAATGTCAAAAAGACTTTTCACAAAGGACTGACTTAGTATGTCACATGAGAACTCATACTGGAGAGAAACCATATAAGTGTTCAGAATGTATGAATACCTTTTCTCATAGATCAACATTAGTAAATCACATGAGAACTCATACTGGAGAGAAACCATATAAGTGTTCAGTGTGTCTGAAAGACTTTTCTCATAGATCAACATTAGTAGATCACATGAGAACTCATACTGGAGAGAAACCATATCAGTGCTCAATGTGTCTGAAAAACTTTTCTCGGAAATCTGGTTTAGTAAGTCATATGAGAACTCATACTAGTAAGATAGATTCATGAAAGTATATCATTTAAAATAGATAAATATATTTGCGTCTAGTTTACTAAAGATGACTTAACCTAAATTATGAAATAATTTTTGAGCGTTTTTTCTTCTTGATGATTCTGGCATTGGTCCAGACTTGTCTGGCAGTGTGTTGCATGTCTGGCAGTGTTGCATGTCTGAGAGTGTGTTGCATGTCTGGCAGTATGTTGCATGCAATACAACTGGTGATATTTATCAAATAAACAATCTATTAATTCCTACCCACAGTTTTACTTTGCCACAATACCACCTTGATGGTCTTCCTGAATGTCATTTTTAAAATAAGCATATCATTAAGGTAAGTAAGCATATCATTAAGGTAAGTGAGCATATCATTAAGATAAGTGAGCATATCATCAAGCCTAAAAGACTTAAAGGCTTAAATCCCAAATTATTGCCACTTGGGTAGGCCCTGTGCCCCTCCCTAGAAATATCTGGGTGCCTGGCCTACGTTTCCTAAACATCGAAGTGTACCTACCCCCTCGATGCAGGTGTTACAAATGCCAGCACTATGGCCATGTTGCAGTAGCCTGTGAAATTCTTGGTGTGGTAAGTGTGCTGGGAAACATTCTACTACAGAATGCACAGTAGGCCTTGACAGCCAAAAATTTAAGTGTATTAACTGTAAAGAAGTTGGGGTTACAGCTTCCCACAAGGACTGCAGTCGGAACCCAAACAACCTTCGACGTAAACCAGCCATCCCTGCTAGCACATGTGAAACTACTGATCTGCCACTACTGATACGTACCCCTACACCTGAATATGGGGATGAACTTTTCATTTTTTCCAACACACACAACTGCAACAGTCAGACACCACACAGGTAACCCCCCTGGAAACTGGAGATGAGTCAGATGCACAGGACCTACCTGCAATGAATAATGATGAGGCAGACTTGCCACAGGCACCATCAGAGAACACTAATGTAACCATGGCACCCGTTAAGGTGATAGTTGTTAAAGAAAGCACTAACTCAGAAGTGCCATCCTACGTAGAGTCATTGTATTCGCCTGACCTTCCTTATATTATAACAAATTTGCAGAAAAAAATTGAGCATCCTGACAAGTTTAATAAATATATGTAATCAGGATGATGCTCTTGAGTATGGTGATAATGTCAAAAGTGCAGCAATCTCCATTCAGTTTCAAGTAATTTGTAATAAAGAATCCCATGACTCTTGGCTTCAAGACTTGCCTTTTAACTGGCTGCCAATATGCCGAAAAATGCTTAAAAATAAAGGTCCTGAAGATAAGCACGTACAAACTATGCTATTTGCTCTTAAGTGCCTGCACACTATAGCCAAAGCATAATAGCTTTACCACCTTATGAGCAAGAGATTCTAATAATTCACTTCAATGGATACATTACAAATCTTGTCATGGAACGTTGCTTCCATCAGGAAGCGATTGTCTGACTTACATCATATTAGTGCAACCAAGAACATAAGAACATAAGAATGTAGGAACACTGCAGAAGGCCTACTGGCCCATACGAGGCAGGTCCTTATCAAAACGATCTCTACCTAAAGCCACCCAAGAAATAACTCCCGTACCCAATGACACCAATCAAACCCAGCCCCTCCCACTCATATATTTGTCCAGTCTCTTCTTAAAGCTACACAAGGTCCTAGCCTCTATCACCCCCTGGGAAGACTGTTCCACGCATCTACAACTCTGTTAGAAAACCAGTACTTACCTATGTCCTTTCTAATCTAAATTTATCCAACTTAAATCCATTATTCCTGGTTCTTCCCCGGTTTCGAACCCTCAGTACTTTTTTAAATGTCCCCCTTTTTATGCCTGTCATCCACTATACACTTAAATATATTCCCCTCATTCTCGCCTCTCCAGGAGTGGAATTTAAGGCTTTAAGCTATCTTCATAGGGGAGGTTCCTTACACAGTAAATCATTTTAGTCATTCTTTCTGTATGTTCTCTAATGAGTCTATGTCCACCTGTAGTAAAAGAGCCAAAACTGAGCAGCATAATCTAAATGGGGCCCTCACAGTGATGTATAGAGCTGTAAAAAAACTTTTGGACTTCTTTTTACTTATACTTCTTGAGAAAAAATCCAAGAAATCTGTTGGTTTTGTTGCGCACACAAAGGCACGCGTCTTTCTTTAAATTTCTGCTTACCATGACCCCAGTTTTTTTCACTTCTGTTGAAAAAGCTCTATTTCACCTAGATTTTAGCTTCGAGGTTTTTTCATACCAAGGGCAAGTACCTTACACTTACCCAAATAAACTTCATCTGCCTTTTTTTCAGCCCAAAGACATTAATTTTTAAAATCGCCCGGAGCATTGAACCCCCTCAGAGTGAATTAAGGGGCCTTTCTTTGTAATCAGCAAACTTCTCATGCCCCAAAGTAACCCCTTCATCAAGGCATTAATGTAAATTATAAACGGAGAGGGCCAAAAACTGATCCTTGTGGAACGCCCTGTGCAAACCCCCTTTCAGTTTCACTCCATTAATTGTAATCCTGTTTTCTTTTAGTAACCATGCCTCAATCCTGCAGAACTTTACCTCCTATACCAGACTGCCCTTTTCTTAAGAGTCTCTTGTGAGGTACCTGTCAAAGGCTTTACAAAAACCAAATAAACAATATCATTTTCCTTATCACTGTCATGCCTCAAATGTTCTATTGAAAAAAACGTCTTTAAGTTTTTTGGCGGGAACGACCTCTTGAACCCATGCTGAGATTATTTATCAAGTTATGCTTTAAAGGGTGACTTCGATAATTCAGCATAATTGATTCAAATAACTTGCCCACTTTAATGTCAGGCTTATTGGACGGTAATTTAAAGGGAGTGGACTTCCCCCTGATTTAAATATGGGAACCCACATTACCCATCATACATCTCGGCACAACACTGGTAAGGAGGACCATTGAATACACTCGTTAATGGCGATAAGCTCCACTTGCTTCCTTAAGTCCCCTTTTAAAACAACTCATCGGGCCCGGGGGACTTATTTTGTTTCAGTTTTCTACGTTTAATACCTTCCCCCCCCTCGGCCGTAAATTAGTTAATTTAAAATTATCAGGAACTAAAAATTTGTTTAAATTACTGGAATCTGATTTACATTTTCTGTTAAAAACTGACAAAAAATAGTCATTAAATAAGGAACCATTTCCTTCATTACCCTCACTGTCCTTTCCCAAATTTTTCGAGGTCCTACTTTTTCCCACCTTCGCCCCTATACATTTAAAAGAACCCCCTTTGGTTTTGTTTTTGATTCTTTAGCGACTCTTTTTTTCATAGTCCTTTTAGCCTTTCAATCGCCTTTTTTACTTCTCTTTTAAGCTAAATATTGGCATTTAAGGTTTAAACCCCTCCCTTTTCTTGCCCCTATAAATTCCCCCTTTTCTCCCCTAATGATGCTTTAGCCTCCTGTTAACCCATTGGGATCGTTATTATTAGCCCCTAATTTCTCCGGGGGGAAATGTATTACTCTGGGCATGTGTACTTATAAGAAAAAAAATCATAAAAGCAGATCCCTTCATATTCATAAATAATTAGTCAATAAAATCATTAGCTAGATAACCCCAATCAAAATTAGACGATTTCCCAAGTCCATTATAACGGGGAGAACGAAAATCGGGATTTTTTTCTTATTATCATTATTCTTGCATTCCCAAAAGCAAAGGTGATGGATTTGTGCACTTTCGCCCAAACTCTTCAGTGATCTCCAATTTTTCACGAGTGTTTTCCCTTTTTTGCAAAACTAGGGCTAGCAATTATTTTCCCTGGTAGGTTCAGTTACACTCTGTTTTTAAAAAAACGTCCTGAACTGTTTCCATGAAGTCACTGGACTCTAGATTACCGTCAAAGAATTCCGTCAATTTGGCTAAAGTTTTTAAATCCCCTCATGACTACGTTACTGGTCCAGAACCCTAACAATTTCGTCCCAAAGAAGTCTCCCTCTATCTTTATCCAAGCCCGGAGGTCGGTTATTACACCTAGAATTAGTTTTTCTTGACCCTCCACGAACTCTACCCAAACAGACTCTGTTACTGCTCCATCTATTTTTATACCTTTTTTTATGCAACAATTAATATTTTCTCGAACATACAATGCAACTCCTCCCCCCTTCCCATTACATCTATCCACATTGAATAACATAAATCCCTGAATATTACACTCAGCAGTCATATCCCGACTCCTTAAATCATACCACGTTTCAGTTAATGCAATGATATCAAAGTTCCCAGCACATGCTACCAAACGTAGTTCATTAATTTTATTTCTTGCACTTCGACTGTTAGCATAAAATACCATCATATGTTTTTTCTTCTGCACATTTTTCCTATTCATCTTTGTTTTTACACAATTTCTGAAATTATCATTACCCAGAGTTACTCCATGACAGTTACTACTAAGATTCTTAATATCAGAGCATAAGTCAATATATCGATACTCATTATTAATCATTTCAAAACCCATACCTCTAACTAATCCTAGTTTAAAGTCCTAACAACCCCCTCAATTGAGTTAGCAAGAAAACCCACACCTGCCCTGGATAAGTGAACCCCATCCCTGGCATACATGTCATTTCGGCCATAGAAGTTGTCCCAGTTGTCAATGAATGGTACTGCATTATCCTTACAGTGTTTATCCAGCCAACAATTAATACCAATTGCTCTGGACAACCATTCATTACCAACACCTCTTCTTGGCAAAATGCCACATATAACAGGGCGCCTCCCCTTCTTCCTAATCATGTCTATAGCTGTCCTGAACTTTCTAACTAAATCCTCACTTCTACGCTTGCCTACATCATTGCCTCCAGCACTGAGGCAAATAAT